TTTTTTTTTTTTAATGAATCTTGTGTTCTATGTAGAATTTTAAAACAAGAAAAATCATGAATCTTGCTATAAGTTTGATATGTGAAGATACTTTCAGGTACATGTTGGATTAAAAGATGTATATTCCGGTTTAGATTACTCGAATTTCCGCGGTTACGAAGATGATGCTATGTGACTGAGTTCTAATGTTATGGGTTCATTTGCTGGAAAGTGTGAAATTGTTGAAGAGAAAGAAGACCGTCAAAACTCGATTGTTTACTCCGCGAGATCAACCACTATTCCACATTCTGGTTCAAGCCTTGTAGACGACAAGGACCTGGAGCGACCGGTACTGAAATTAGGTTACAGAGGTTCACTAGAAGATGATATCAACCAACTTTTCGAGTCTATAAGCATTCGAACATCCGGAATGATTCCTTCTTACCAAGTTGGTGCAAGTAGTAGCAATAGAAACAACAGTTCGTTACAGCGGACCGCTCTGAAAAGTCCCGCGATTCCGGGAGGACCTCGATCACCGAGTAAGAGAAATGCGGAACCAGCAAGAAATGCGGAACCAGCGACATTAAAGCAAGCTTTGAGAGATTTATGTGTCACTAAGGCATCAGAAACAGCAGCTAGCAAACGGACTATTAAGACTAGTAGTGGGGGTTCCGTTTATGGATCGGTTTTGGTTGAACCGGGAAGTGGAGCTAGCGAAGAAGGAAAGGCGGTTCTTGTCGAGTTACTTGATGAAGCTCAAAGCGGTTCAACAGAGAGTATATCGCAGCAGCTTCGTCTTCTTAAGATACATTCTTCAAGCCAAAACTCTCAGACATCAAAGCGGTATTGCGATGAAATGTCGATACTAAAGAAAGACAAGAACTGGTCTCTTGATGACGCGGAATTGAGTATGGCGAAAAGGAGCTTCGGTTCATCGTCGCCCGGATCAGGGAACAATAAGACAGTGGTTGGATTGAAATCAGTTAGAAAAGTGAGGTTGTTGTATGCTAATACACCGAGTTCCACCATAGTTAATGGCAAGAGAGTGGCTAAGTTAACCAGAACCATTCCTCGCGGTGGAGGAGCTAAACCGGCACTAAGGAGCAAAGGTTCCGTGAAGAAGAAGGCTACAAATGTGTATGATGAAGTAGATGGCTTCTATGATCCCATTGCAAAGGAACTTCTTTGCCATAGATGTCATTTCGCTTTGAAGAACACTGCAACTAAAGAAGAGCCCTCTAAAGATTCACCGGTAGCAGCAGAGCATGAGCGGAATCCGAATGTTAAGGAAGGTTGTTTAGATGAATTGGTCTCTGATTTCTCCAGCTCAAGCTATGAGAGCTCTCTTGAGATCAGTGCTAGTGCAGAGACTAAACTTGATATGATAAGAAGCTCTCTGGATTTGATGAATTCAGAGACCTCTCAGGTTTCTCTAGCTGCATTCGGTAATAAAAACACCGAAAAGGTTCCCGAGTACTGCAACAATGAGATCACTGAGGAAGATTCTCTATCCGCCAAAGAAGTTGATCAGAAAGATTCTGTCTTTATGTCAGAACAGAGTGTGGAGATTGGTTCTTTCAGTGAGAAATCTGTTGTGATGAATCCAGATAGTCCTCCAAACAAACTCAGCTTAGACGGAGCAGCCATTGAAGATGTCAATGAGAACTCGGAAATCGAAAACAAAGGCGGGGAATGTATCGGATACAACAGCTCAAGTACGAGTATAAGCGAGGAAGAACAAGAACAGAAGAATAATATTATGACAAGGTCTAGCTTTGGAAACAGACCTCATATGTCTAAAGATGTGAGATGGGAAGCTATTCAGCATATAAGAGCACAACACGGGCTCGGTTCATTGGGACTTAGGCATTTCAATCTTCTTAAGAAGCTCGGTTGTGGAGATATAGGAACGGTTTATCTCGCTGAGCTCACGGGAACAAACTGCTTGTTCGCTATAAAAGTGATGGATAATGAGTTCTTGGAGAGAAGGAACAAGATGTCGAGGGCTCAAACCGAGAAAGAGATTCTCAAAATGCTTGATCACCCGTTTCTTCCGACGTTATACGCTCACTTCACTTCCGATAACTTGTCGTGTTTGGTCATGGAATGTTGTCCGGGAGGCGATTTACATGTCTTAAGGCAGAAGCAGCCCGGGAGGTGGTTTCCCGAGCCAGCGGCTAGGTACTTTGTTTC